GTGGTAAAACATCCTTGCCTTGTTCCTGATCTTAGAGGAAAAACATTTAGTGTTTCATCGTGAATATAATGTTAGCTGTAGATTTTTCATAGATGCTCTTTATCAGGTTTAGGGCATTTTATCCTATTTCCAGTTTCTTGAGAGTTTTTATGATGAACAAAAATTAAATTCTTTCAAATGCTTTTTCTGCATCTATTTGATCATATGATTTTTTTTCTTTATTCTGTTAGTGGCAAGCTGTGTTGATTGATTTTTCAAATGTTAAACTAACCTTGAATTCCTGGGATAAATACAACTTTATTGTGATGTATTATTCTTTTAACTATAGGTAGATTTGATTCAATATTTTGTAAAGATTTTTGCATCTAGATTAATGAGGGATATTGGTGTGCAATTTTTTCTTTTAGATGTTCTTGTTTGGTTTTGATGTCAGGGTTATGCTGCCCTCACTAAATAAGTTGGGATGTATTTCCTCCACTAATTTTCTGAAAGAGTTTATAAAAGATAGTTTGTATTTTTTTCCTTATATATTTCATAGAATTTGTCAATTAAGGCATCTGAACCTAGAGTTGTTTGTTTGTTTATTTTAGCATGGCTATTAATTGTAAACAATTTTTTTGTTTATATAGGGCCAATCATATTTTACATTTTTTCTTGTGTCAGTTTTTGTAATTTCTGTTTTTCAAGTAATTTCACGTTTAACTCAAGTTATTGAATTTATTGGCATAATGTTGCTTGTAATATTCCTTTATCCTTTAATTATCTGTTAGATCTATAATATTTCCTCTTTCATTCCTGATACTAGTGTTTTATGCTTTCTTACTTTTTTCTTCATCAGTCTGACTAAGATTTTACAATTTCATCAATTATTTTAAAAAACCAACTTCTGATATCCTTGATTTTTTTCCTGTTATTTGTTTTCTGTTTTATTTCCTGCTTTTATATCTATTATTTTACTCATTCTTTTAACATTGAGCTTCATTTGTTCTTCTTTTTTCTATCTCCTTAAGGTAGTATCTTAGACAATTCATTTTAAAATTTTCTTCTTTTCTATTGTAAGCTTTTAAATCTGTAAATTTTTCTATAACTCTATTTTAGGTACATCTCACAAATATTGATTTTTTTTTCCTTATCATTTGTTTCAAAATATTTTCCAGTCTTCCATGTCATTTTCTTCCTTGATACATGTATTATTAAAGAGTATTTTATTTAATTTCCAAATCTTTAGGATTTTTCTAGATATCTTTTCTTAGACGTCATTGATATTTTCGTATCATTGTTATATATTGATTTCTAAATTTAGCCCATTGTTATGAGAGAACATATTATGTGGATTTCAGTCATTTTAAATTTATTGAGACTTGTTTGATGGCTCAATGTATGATCTGGAAAAGAACGTATGCTCTGCAGTTGTTAGGTGTGGAGTTCTATGAATTCAACTAGGTTAAGTTGGTAAATAGTGTTGCAACATGACCAATTCCCAATAAAAGTCCTTAGCACTGAGTCTCTGTGAAGCCTCCCTGGTAGGCAGCATTTCAAGTGTGTTATCACAGCTCACTGCTGGAAGAATTAAGTGCATCTTGTGTGATTACTCTGGGAAAGAACTCTTGGAAACTTGCATCTGAATTCCTCTGGACTTTGCCCCATGTATCTCTTCTCTTTGCTGATTTTGCTTTATGTCTTTTTACTGTAGTGAATCTTTTCAAACAACCAACTTTTGATTTCATTGATTTTCTCTATTTCCTGTTTTCAGTTTCTTTGATTTCTAGTCTTCAAATAAAAAATTATTTATTTCTTTTCTTCTGCTTATTTTGGATTTAGTTTTCTTCTTTTTATAGTTTCCTAAAGTAGCTTACATGATTAATTTCAGTTTTTTTTCCTTTCTAGTGTATTCATTCAATGCTATAACATTCCCTTTAAGCACTGCTTTTGCTGCATCTCATAAATTTGGTACATTGTATTTTAATTTTCATGTAGTTTAAAATTTCTCTTGAGACTTCTTTTTGACTGATATATTAATTAGAAGTAGGTTGTTTAATCTCTAAATATTTTGGGGTTCATCCAGCTATCTTTCTATTAGTGATTTCTAGCTTAATATAAGAGTAGGCATTGCCTGATACCTATTATTTTAAAATTTGTTAAGGTGTGTTTTCTGGCCCAGAATATAATCTATCTTGTTGATTGTTCCATGTGAGCTTGAGAAAAATGTGTAGTCTACTGTTGTTGGATGAAGTGTTCTATAAATGTCAATTAGATCCAACTGATGGGGCTGTTTAGTTCAACTATATCCTTACCAATTTTCTGCCTGCTGGATTTGTCAAGTGCTGATAGAGGAGTGTTGAAGTATTCAACTGTAATAGTGAATTCATCTATTCCTCCTTGTAGTTCTATCAGCTTTTACATCACATATTTTAATACTTTGCTGTTAGGTGCATACACATTAAGGGGTTATGATGTCTTCTTGGAGAATTGACCCTTTTATCATTATGTAATGCCTATCTTTTTCCCTGATAATTTTCCTTATTCTGAAGTCTGCTTTGTCTGAAATTAATTGGCTGCACTGACTTTCTTTTGATTGGTGTTAGCATGGTGTATCTTTCTCTATCTCTTTACTTTTAATCTATCTGTTCTTTATATTTAAAGTGAGGTTCTTGTAGACAACATGTAATTGGGGTCTTTTTTTTAATTCATTCTGACAGTCTCTGTCTTTTAATTAGTATATTTAGACCATTCACCTTTAGAGTGATTATTGATACAGTTGGATTAACGTGTACCATATTTGTAGCTGTTTTCTATTCATTGTTCTTGTTCGTTTTTTGTCTTTCTTTCTTTCTCTTCTACCCTTTTTCTGCCTTCTCTGGTTTTAATTGATTGTCTCATATGACTTAGTTTTCTCTTCTTTCTTAGCATGTAAATTATATTTCCTTTTAAAATGATTTTAGTGGTTTCTTTATAGTTTGCAATATACATTTACAGCTAGCTCAAGTCTACTTTCAAATAATCCTGTGCCACTTCATGGGTAGTACAGGTACCTTTTAACAGAGTATTCCCAATTCCTCCCTCCTGTCCCTTATAGCACTGCTGTCATTCATTTGACTTATCCATAAACTATAATCACCCAATAATTTGTTGCTATTATTGTTTTGGAAAATCTGTTATCTGTTAGGTCAGTTAAAAATAAGAAAATGAAATCTTTTATTTTACCTTCTATGTATTCCTCCTATAGTACTTTTTGTTTCTTTATATAGATCAGAGTTTCTGACCTATATCATTTTCCTTTCCTTAAAGAACTTTTAATGTGTTTTGCAAGGCAGGTCTACTTGCAACATAGTCTGTCAGTTTCTGTTTGTCTGAAAACATCTTCGTTTATCCTTCACTTTTGAAGGATAATCTACTGGATACAGAGTTCTAGGTTGGTGGACCTTTTCTTTGAACACTTTGAATATTTCATTTCACTCTCTTCTTGCTTGCATGTTTTCTGAGAAGTGTGGTGTAATCTTTATCCTTGTTCCTCTGTCGGTAAGCTTTTCTTTCTCCCCTCTCTGGCTTCTTTCAAGATTTTCTCTTGGTCTTTGACTTTTTGCAGTTTAAATCTGATATGCCTAAGTGTGGATTTTTTTATATTCATGTGCTTGTGTTACCTGAGCTTCTTAGATCTGTGGTTGACTGTCATTAATTTTGGAGAATTCTTAGCCATTGTAACTTCAAATATTTCTTCCATTTCTTTCTCTTTCTTTTCCTTCTGGTATTCCCATTACACTTTTTGTAATTGTCCCACAGTTCTCAAATATTCTGTTTCTTGTTTTCCATTCTTTTTTAATTTTTCTCTTTCCTTTTCAGTTTGGAAAGCTTTTATTGACATATCTTCAGGCTCACTGGTTATTTCCTTGGCTGCGTCTAGTCTGCTGATCAGCCATCAAAGGCATTCTTCATTTTGTTACAGTGTCTTTGATTTCTGGCATTTCCTTTTGCTTCTTTCTTAGACTGTCTATCTCTCTGCTTATATTATCCATCTGTTCTTACCTGTTTTCTACTTTTTCCTTTAGTGCCCTTATCATATTAATCAGAATTGTTTTAAATTCCCAATCTGATAATTCCAATCACACCTGCCATCTGCCATCTTGCAATCCTGCACAGTAGATAAGAACACAGGCACTGGAAATAGGCTGCCTGTGTTTGAATGCTGGTTGTGCTTATCAGCTGTATAATTTTTTATGGGGTACATAAATTCTTCATACCTCAGTTTACTCAGTTTGTGAAGTGGAAATACTTATAAAACTAACTTCAGAGAGTTTTGAGGAGAATTAAATGAGTTAATACAGGAAAAGCACTTGGAATAATTTCTGGCATAAACAAGGCATTGTATATGTTAGATCCTGATGATGACATGATGACAATGATGGCAAAGTAGCCATTTTTAAAACGTGCCAGCACACTTTTGGCTGAGGGCCTTCATCTCTCTGCCTGGGATGATCCCAGATGTCCACACAGCTCACTTCCTCCCTTCATTCAGTCTCTGTGTGAGGGTCACCATGGCAGTGAGACCTTCCCCGAGCGCCGTATGTAAAAACACAGCCCTGCTGCTGCTGCTCCCTTACCTGCTCTACTATTTTTCCATAGCAAATATGACTATCTGACATATTATATATTTGTTATTTTTTGTTGATTTCCAGTCTCCTTCAACTTAAATGTAGGCTGCCTAAGGGAAGATCTGTCTTCAAAACTTAAAGAATTAAAAGGTTTCGAGGGCAGTTTTCTCTATAGTCACATAAACAAGTACTGTACAGCTCCTTAAATTTATGTTTTTTAAGAATATTTAATGACATTGGGAAATATTTTTAAAGTGCTACCACACATGATACAAAAGACTAAACGCAATTACGTGCAAAGAGCAGGATCCACAAGTGTAGGGGACGGCCTGCAGCCTATGCCCAGGTCTGTCTTGGTTCACAGCCTTCTGCCCTAAGCCACATGTAGTGTTTTTTGATTTTCTCTTTCAGTATGAATACTTCAATGCCGTGCTGATAAACGAAAGGGACAAAGATGGGAATTTTTTGGAGCTGGGGAAGGAATTCATCTTAGCCCCAAATGACCATTTTAATAATTTGCCTGTGAACATCAGTCTGAGTGACGTCCAAGTGCCAACGAACATGTACAACAAAGGTAAGCCACACTGCTGCTGCTCCCTTCACAGCGTGGAGAGTAGGGGCATGAGGGGCAGGGCTGGCTGGTTTGGGATATTGTTTTTCTTTGAAAAACGCAATTACATGCTAGGTGTGTCAGCATCAGCTGGACAGGTGAAATGTGTGCCTGTTCCACCTGGAGACTCTGGGCTCGCTGTTTCCCCAGCTGCTGTTTGCATCAGTCTCTCTAACGTGTGGTCCAGGGGTTGGCAAACTTTCTGTAAAGGGCCAGGTAATAAATACATTAGGCTTTGAGAATCATACAGTCTCTGTTGAAACTACTCAGCTCTGTTGTTCTGGGATTATAGTGGCCATGGACCAGCTCTGGCATCAGACAGCCTCTGGTTAGACGCCATGTTCCATCTCTTACTGGCTGTGACCTTGGGCACACCACCTCCTCTCTTTATACCTTAGTTTCCTCATCTCTAGGATGTGGATAATAATTGTGTCTCTTACACAAGGTGATAGTGAGGACTAAATAGATGATGTGTATAAAGGGTTTGAGTTAAGGATGTTCCCTCCTTATCCTCACCATTATTGAGAAGGATTTTGCACTGCTTTATCATACCTAGGAGGCTCCTAAACAAAGAGCCATCCTCTCAGAAAAATAAATCAGAAAGCCATGGCACATTCAAAGTGAAAATCTGCCCCATTATCTGCCATTGAGGTTTTAAAAATTGTCGGGGCTGGTTTCCATCACCCCCCCAATATCAGTATCACGTACAAGAATGTCATGGTCAAGAGAAGGGCTCTGAATTTGAATCCTGCTCTTTGCCTTGTTTGCTATGTGATCCTAAGCAAGTAACTGCCTCCCTGAGCCCCAGTTTCCCTCTTTGTAAGTAGGGATAAGAATACTGCCTCCCTCGGTTATTGTGAGGATGTGAAATGATGTGTGTGCAGCCTTAGTGAAACAGTCACTCGTGGAAAGTGCTCAACGCATCTTAGCTGTCATTGTTATTATCAGGAAATAGCATGAATATAATTTGCCTTTCTAAATCATTTAGGTCACTGTTTAAAGAGCTGCGTCAGGGGCCGGCCTTGTGATCGAGTGGTTAAATCTGTGCGCTCTGCTTTGGCAGCCGGGGTTTTCACTGGTTCGGATCCTGGGTGGGGACACGGCACTGCTCATCAGGCCATGCTGAGGCAGCGTCCCACATAGCACAACCAGAAAGACCTACAACTAGAATATACAACTATGTACTCAGGGGCTTTGGGGAGAAGAAGAAGAAGAAAAAAAAAGAAGATTGGCAATGGATGTTAGCTCAGGTGCCAATCTTAAAAACAAACAAAAGAACAGAGCTTAGTCAATGATTAAAAAGCTTCCAATTCACTGTCTCTGAAACGTTTCCGTCATGCCTGTTCTTTGTAGCTGGATACCTAATGTCTCCCTTTCATGATTTACCTGTTACTCATCCTTAATATTCAGTGGAGGCAGTCCTCCATTCATTAATTGTTCTGACAGTTATGAGAACCCCGTGGTGAGCAGACGCAGCCCCTCTCTCAAGAGATTCACAGTTTACTTGGGGAACAGACAGGTAATGAGATCATTAGTGACTGGCCGCCATTATGGGAAGTAGGGGGCAATGGGAACTGCAAGGAGGGGACCTGACCACCTGCTCATGTGGGCCACCACGTGTTGTCTTTTTTCTCTCACCCTCTTAGAGAAAGTGATGTGAGCATGAGTCTCTCCTAGTGGGCTCTGGACTGGGCTGAATCCAGTGACCTAATGTTGACTTTGGACTCTTCCCTATGGGGCAAATGGAGCCCAAGGCTTAGAGGGCTGAGCTCAGCTCTGTCCAGTGGAGTTGAGGCCTCCAGGGCGATCTTGTCAGCTGATGAAGGACAGCTGTCCCTTCTGTGCAGTATGGCTGGAGGAAGCCCTCTTCTCAGCATTAAATACATTCTCAACTGAAAATGAAAAGTTAACAAGATTTTACAGAACACTTTCAGACATGAAACAACTCAGAATGAATTCTTTTAAAATATGGCAGCTGCTTCAAGGTTGCCCGAGCCATTAGCGCTATTATAGAGATTTAATTGCACCTTGAGCTTTAAAGGCATAATTGTACCTTTTGATGGCGGCAACACATAAGGGACCAGCACTGCCACTGATCACACAGGCTACAGCATCGTGACTGCGAGGATAGACAGAATCCGAAAAGAGAGACAGACTGCTTGAGCTGTGGAGGCAGATAATATTTAAAGTCATCCTCAGCAGCCTCACGGGGTCTGCCTACCGCCCTGACTCAGTCCCAGCAGTCCCCCAGCCAGCCTGTGGGGTCGTGGACCAAGATCAGCAAGATTCTCTATCTTGTCTCTGCCAGGCAGTGAGTAGCTGCCCAAGGGAGAGGGAAGGGGACTTCAGGAAAATTCCTGTCTCCATTCTACCTAATTCAAACCAGCCCCAAACAGTCTTTTTTCTTTTTAAGCTGCAGAAATGTATTTCATGTTTAGAGGGCCCTCCAGCTCAGATCTTGTTATTGATGACATGTACTCAAAACACATGCTCAGAGCTTGGTCACTGGCTGTGATGTTCCTGGATTAGAAATCTTGCCCCCAACAAAGGAAACCAATACAGGGTCATGCTCTTCTGGCAGCTTGGACCCCCATGGGCGTGGGGCAGAGTGGTTTGATATTTGCTTAGGAATTGCTGTGCGCTCTGCTCTTGGGCATAACTTGTAGTAGATAAAACTAACTGGCTGGTAAAATATACCTGGTAAAATATGTCTATTTTCCACTTTCTTGCCTGGGCCTTGCCACCAGCCTCATGAACCAGGTCAGCCCCTACCTCTGTGCTTGAGGTACCTTTCTCGGAGGCCCTGAGAGAGACTGCATGTTCAGAGTTGGTGACGTGTGGGCAACCTGTCCTATTGCCCATGAGAATTTAAAGAGCCTCCTTCCTGGAATCTTTAGAAATGTGAGTTAGGGTCCTCATGGTGCCTGATGCAGCAGCTTCTTCACTAAACCTCTTCAGCAGATGTTTGTGGAGTGGCTGTTCTGGCGTCTGCAGCCCGTGAGGCTTCGTGTCTGTGAGACTTGTTCGAAGGCTGCTTCTCATGCCTTTGGAGCTGTGAGCAACTTTGTTTCGTCTGTGAGTGAAGCCTGCAGTGGGATGCTTTAGCGAGAACTGTTGATGAGCTGACAGTGGATTCAGATAAAGCTGAACTCTTTCAAAAGTACATTCTAGGCTGAAGTAGTGTAAAATTTACACACACGCAAACACATATACATACGTTATATACATAAACACCTACACATGTGTTACGTATGTATGGGTGTGTACATCTGTATGGTGTGTATATCTGTGTATGTGTTTGCTTGTCTATTGCTGTGTGTGAAAGAAAATGCTCTATTCTCAACCTTGCCCTTCATTCCAGTTTTCAACTCTGTCCACCCAGGTGAGATCTCCTTCTACTCACTGAGTTTGCCTTTCTCTTTCCTCCATTATAACTTATTTCACTCCATTCCTATTATTCCTACCTCTCTCTTTTCTGCTTTTCCAAATGCTCATTCTTAAAACCCAGCTCAATACAACCTCTTTAATGCTTTCAGTCTTTTGTTATGTAAGTGACTTTGGTTTATTCCTTTGTTCTAGCATCACTTTGTTCCAGAAGTGCATTGCATACAATTTTTTCCTTCTCCACTTGGAGTTCTCTGAGGGCAGGGGACCCTGCTGGTTAGGCCTAGTGCCCCCCTTTGCCTCAAGTGCCAGGTTCTTTCCCTAACGAGCTCTCCACAGACACAGGATGGGTGGACAGACACCAGTTTCTGTGCCTCCTGGGCTGTGAGAAGTCAACCAGGGCTGTAGTGTTCCCATGGTGCTCGCAAGCAACAGAAACATACCCTGGCTGATTTAAATGGAAAAGAAACTTTTTGAGAGGATGTTGGGTGGCTCACAGACTCTCCAAGATAGATAGAGAATAAGACTTGGAAAATGGTGTGGAGGGAGGCCAGTCAGGGACCAGAGCCACACCCAGGGCCTCATGCCACCTCAGTTCCTGGGCTGCTGGTCTGTAAGCCATTTTTCTCAAGGGGGTCTATAAAGGAAAAGGTAATAATTTTCTCCCAAATGTTTTTGTTTTAAAGCGCCCGAAACCCAACAACTGCAAATGGACCAGAGTTTGGACTATAAGCTTCTGCTTCTCTCTTCCCCCATGGCTGCTGAAGAGCACAGATGGGCAGCTCTGTGATTCTGTGTTGTTCTGGGGTTTGGAGTGCTAATCTGAGGGTTTTCCACCTTTTTCCTTGTCACATTTTGCTCCCCCTCACTGTGCAGTAAGTGCGATGCTGCTGAGTGAGACAGAGGACGGAGAGGTGACAAAAGTGGAATAAAAAGGTGATGGCTTGGGGCTGGCCTGGTGGTATAGTGGTTAAGTTCATGCACTCCATTTCGGTGGCCTTGGATTTGCGGGTTTGGATCCTGGATGCAGACTTGCACACTGCTCATAAAGCCGTGCTGTGGCAGCATCCCGCATACAAAATAGAGGAAGATGTTAACTCAGTGACAATCTTCTTCAAGAAAAAAGATCAAGATTGGCAACAGATGTTAGCTCAGGGCCAGTCTTCCTCACCAAAATAAGAAAAAGGTGATGGCTTAAAAAGTGCCCATAGATAACATTAAACGTAACTGATTCTATAATTTGGCCATGGGGCAGAGAGGAAGGAAAAGAAGCCTGTAGCATGTGAGCATTTTAGACCCAAGCAGAAGAAAAGTAAAGATAGTAGCTTCTTTTTCAGCAGTTTTAGGCTGGATAAAGGAAAATATGAATTTTATAATTTTGTCGGTTTAGACTTCTCTATCATTTTATGACCTTGACCTCATTTTATTCCCTCTGCAGTCCCACGAGGCAGGTCAGGCAGTATTCTCCTCTCCCATTTTTCAGATGAAGAAACTAAAGTTCAGGGAGGCCAAAGATTTATTCCAGGTCACACGGGTAGGAAGGTCCCCGCCACTGTGGACCTCAGTTTTAAGAGGACAAG